TGCTTAAATTTGTACGTCATCGCCCAGATGCCCCTACCTGGATGGACAAAGGTCATTTGCCTGCTATGTTTACTCGACAGCTAAAATCGTGTGTCGCAGAAAAGGATGGCCACTGCCTGATGGCAGTAGAATGAAGCAACAAGACACCCAGTTGATCGCCTGAAGACTAGAAAATGGTAAGTGCACTGCAGAGGATTGTTGAAATTGACAACTGCGTCGGGAAATGAAATACGAATATGGCAGTTCCCCACTCATATGCATTTAAACAACTAGTCTGAAATGCAGAAAATGTGCGCTTACGCCATACTTGCACACATTCTTACAACAGGGACAAAGAATTTGTTCACGAAGCGTGTGACAGTGCTCAACAACAACAACAAACCTCCATCGAGTGAGATTGTGGGTGGAGCCTTGCAAACGAGACGAGGTGTTTTGTGGAACGATTACACGTACTGCCTTGAAGAGCTTGACTATGACGTGTGAACCAGGGACAACGAAAAAGCTCCATATTGTTTTCTTTTTGTCAGTCGTTGAGTTGATGTCAGAAGTTAAATGCAAAATGCACGCATTCGTACATCAGCAAGACAAGTGGAAATCAAGGCATAACAATTGAAATGGGTGCATAGGGACATTGAAGACCGACAATGATACCTACTATCAGCCTATTTCGTTCCGTTTGGACAATGTCCCTCCAACATTTCAAAAAGTATGGACTCCCCACCTGGAAAGATAACAAAACCAAGCATCAGTGCTTTCTTGTAGGCGCATACAACTGTCTTCGACTTGAACTTTAGCCGGTCCAAGAACGGATCTACTTTGCATCTAATCAGCCCACTTCACCTCCCTTCACCTACCTTCACCATGCAAAGGATGATAAAGTCAACCAAAACTAAATCATACAGTTAACCTCACAGATGAAGAAACAAATTACAAGTCACAGAATAAATCAAAACCACTGCCTGCGTCATTTTATTTTATTACGCTAAACTCCTATAATTCTACTTTAACGAGCAAACCAGTGTTATAACTAGGGACCGACCAACTTTAGAGTAGTGACCTCCACGTAGCCAGGTAAATAGCACGACTGAACAATGCGTTAACGTCCTAAACAACTTTGACAACGTCTTTGCATCACCCTCACGCCAACTGAGTCTCTGAGACTATTTTCACACGCCTCAATATTGATAACTCACCACTCAAATTCTACCTTGTCGCCTCTTGTGCCCGGTCTGCGCGAAAGTGCACTCCCACACCGGTTAACATCAAACATCGCAACTTCACCACGTCCAGACACGAGCTCAAAAACCCCCAACATCACAACCGGGAAATTAAACATGACCAGACCAGACCACGCCATCCACCACCAGCAAATGCAGACACTCAATTCAGTGATAGCTCACACTTCAAGGGACGGGCATCAAATACAAGAACAAGGAGATATACACACAGAGAGTGACGGACTCAACGAGACGCCTTCCGAATCTCCTTCCTCCTCTTCTTATTCTTTCTGCTTTTCCAGTTATTCTCCTTCTCTTTTTTCATGGAGTTAATTCGTCCATTAGCGTTTAGCCGCTTCTTCATTTTACCACCATTGATGCCCGAAGAAAACTTTTTTGCCTTCTGATTGCCCACGTGCAAGTTACGCACCTTCGGAGGTGGAGGTTGGGCTTCGCTCTCATCTCCAGAGCTCAAAGAATCCATGTCGATATCCATTGCTTCTGCCTCATCCCCGAGCTCTACCTCACTCTCCTCCTTAGCTAATGCTCCGAGATCTGGGTCCTCCCTCATAATTCGTTGACGTCGCCTAACGTATTCCTCGCTGTCTTCTTCACTGTCTCCAAAATCATCGATCCGGAATTCCTTTAACTCATCCTTATTGCAACTCGCAATGGCGTCATCATCATCATCCTCGTCCCCATTTAACAGAGCATTCAAATCAAAGTCGGCATCATCTGAATCTAGACCACTTTCCTTCCTCCGCTCTTCTACTTTCTTTCCCTTCTTTCGGTCTGAACGTGACACGTGGGTTACATGAGTGCCATCATCAATGTCGTAGGAGGAATCGCTTTCCACGTCCGAGTAATCAGAGGCCTCCTCATCAAGGGTGTGCGAACGTTGCTCCTTCAACTTCATGTCCTTAGACTTCACAGTTTCTCCTTTCTCCCGAGCCAAATTATCCTCCTCCTTCATGCACTCCTCACCCTGAAACGAGTAAAGGAAAGTGAAACTAAGGTTAATTATCCCAACCCCTACTTCATCAGCATCACGCTAAATGAAGTATCCAAGTTTATGGCTCGTTCAATGATGTGCAGCTCAGCACACAATAGGAACCCATGCATAGACGACTACCAATTCTCATTCATTTCCACTGATTTGAAATATTGAGAGATCGGATCATACAATAGGTCATATAAAGTGGTTTGTTTAATTGGGAAGACGCCTTGCCGTTAAGGCGTAGTATTATGCCTTAGAGACAAAGCTGCTAGAAAAAGGAAACACCTTGGGCAAAGCACCACCAAGAACGGCAAAAATAGGTAAGGATTGCCTCGCTCCCACCCTTCTTGTTGCTCAGGTAGACGCACCCAGAAAACCAGTGACTTCATAACTTTTGGCTAAAAGACAAGTTTCTTGAGCTATCGGTACAAGTATTTGCTTATAAATGAAGGAATTCGTACGTTGGAGCGATAGAAGCATTAACAGAACGAGCTTCACATTGGATGCATCATCCTTTGCGACCTTTATATGATTTAAGAGCTCTTCACAGTCGACTACTTAAAGTAGTAGAAAAATGACCACATTATTTTGGAGTCAAAATGCCAATTATTCACTGACTGATTGAAGTATACGCCTAACCACAGCCTTCTAGATGCATTGACTGAAGAAGTAGGACTCACCTCAAATTTAAAACGTTCCGAGAGAATGGCGAGTTCGCGGACGCGAATCTTGCGATGCATCAAGTAGTACGCAAGAAGAGGTGCCTCCGGCTGCAAAAGTGCAGATTCCAAGGCGGCCTAAAGACAGATTATGTAACAGAAAATAATCAGAAATCCCGAACACCAACGCCATCAAGAATAAAAGTCCGGCCTACAATTAAAGACCAGTGGCTAGACGATCAAAACTTTGTGAAAACATGTATGGGAAGCAAAAAAACTAACGATTGGTTAAATATAAAAAAACAAGTTCGTGCAATTCAGTAAAACAGTCCATTAGTGTTCTGTAAATGGCATCAAATACAGCTCATAAACAGACTCATCAGTCATAACAGACAGAATCCTGAACAGTATATATGCACGTCACAAGAGCAGCCATCGTTTAGTTAAAAAAGAAGTGAAATTTAATACCAAGATACTCACGATCGCCTGTGAATCCAAAAGGCTTTTAATGGTAGCACGTTTTCTTTTCACAAAATCCACGTGCTCCTTAGCCTTCATTTGAAGTGCCTTGAAATTGCGCGTGAAATTTGCTACTCGACAGGATTTCAGAAAAGCTTGCAACTGGAAAGCAGAGTAACTACGTAATCGTCATTTTGACAGCAAACGAGTTAAAAATATTCGAAATTTTGGTATAAAGAACTCGCAAACAATTATGGGAACATTGAAGAGGAAACAACTTGATACCTCAGATAGGGCAGCGGCAGAATACTCAGGAAATGCGACAGAGTTAGCATAGAGACAAAGGGCCTCAGTAAGGAGATCGTGAAGCCAAATCGCCACAGCGTCCATACAGGCCGTCTCCTTGCGCTGAGATGGAGAAAAGTGCAACATGAGACGCAGGTCCATGGGAGCGCTTAAAGAGAACAAAAGGGAGTGAATGAAAATCAACCGAAAGTCCGATAGCAAAGACTAATTTTAAAGAGAATCTACTTTGAAGCAGCGCTGGCACGTTTATTGAAATCGAATAGCTGAAAGACGTCGAGGAGCAGAGGGAGACTTGGAACTAGTAGAGGAGCGGAAGCCTTGTCCTTTTCACCACTACTTTCCTCAAAATTGCGCAATTTTTTTTCAACACCACCAACCAAATGGAGACATTCCACGAGGTGAAAACGCAAAGGAATCCACCGACTACCTGGACTCAATCTGAAAGGTAACTGCACTCGAGCACCCACCTCACCGCACCAAGAATGACTTGTGTTATGGGATGAATGAGTGAATTTATACGATCGTTGAAGACAGCATTGCGAGCCACGAATTCACACCAAAATTTCAAACTGCAAATGAATTGCCAGTTGTAAACCGAACGAGTTTCCTCCTAAGAGGAAATTCACAACGCTTAACGAAGCTTAGCATTCGAAATATGGTGCAGGAATTTGGTATAGAACCCACCTTTTCAGCGTGAAGAAAAGCTTTACGAAGAGAAATGGCTAACTGCCGAATGAAGACAAAAGCATGCCTGTATGCCTCGTCCAATTGCACGGAATACACCTCTAAAAGCCCCATCTTCATCAAAGTATTTCTAGCGATAGTGTTTCCATAAATAAACTTGGAGTTTTTTACATAGCTTAGGTACATAGACTGCAGCATAACAGCATTTAAAATAAAACCTTACTCTTGTACAAGGACTAAAAAAATCAGGATTCCGTTGAAGTGACTTTATAATAATGATAAGTGCAAGACCCATCCTTTCTTCAGAGTCTTGACTCCAGACGGTACACAGTCGCTACAAAATTGCAATCAGCACCAAGACAACAGACCTTAAGCATGGATTTCAGTAGTTTCGGACGCTTTGAAAATTTATTAAGGTTATCCGAAACCAAATTTAAGTTCAAAACATCGTTGGTAAGAATTTCCTTTAACGCACTCTAAGAAGTTTATATACAACCGTCGTATCAACAGTACCATTCCCACGTTCACTAAACCAAACAGAGCGCCACCACCACCGAGCAATGTAAACAAGCTGGGCTGTATGGCAAATCGATTCATTATTAACCCTGTCTAATAGCGTATTTTATTTGATTGCCTTAATATAAGAAAAATATTATGTATACGAAATCATGGCACAGATTTTTTATGTGAGACGATTTAAGAATTTAATGAAGCCATACGCCCAAGTAGTGCACTAAACCCAAAATTTGTTGTTAATTGTACTGTGTCAGACGTGAAATCCTCTTTGATATAGTAGCTTAATAATAGTAAGTAGCACCAGCTCTGCAATATCTTGCTTATATGATCACCTGTCATTTAACAGCTACTTTAGAATTCGTCTGGCCTTTGTACGTGTGAGCTGGTCTTCTCAGGCTTAATCTTTATCCTCCTTCTAGACTGCATGATTTGAGCCTAACTTACTGCATTTCTCTACCTAATGAGAAGATTTTAGAGTCCACACTAGTAGCGGCGGGAAGGGACCCCAATATTTTTTAAACGACATCTATCGTAGTATCATAGTTTTATTGCTTGTACCTACGGTATAGAGAGCATTTACATCGGGGACAAGAGAAACTCAGGATTCATCACAGAACGAGAAGTCAGAAAGATGCTTTTGTCTTGCTTCACCTCGCCTCTGCGTTTCATGGGCAAAATATCAATAACTGAAGCTACATCTTGGTTAACTATCTGAAAAGTTTTGTGTCAAATCTCTCCCTACTACCACCGCGCATAGGTGTCGAAAATGACAGTACCAATCCTTTTATAAACAAACCTGTCTCAGAGTTCCAAAATCAGATTCTAAAAGCATTTGATAGCCAACAGATACACGCGGTCCCGATTCTTGTTCCTATACCAAACGCTACACCGGGTTCAGTTGAAACTAATGAGGTGATAAGGTATCGTTTCTCGACCTGGCGCGACCTGGTGTACCAAGGGGAGTGTCGAGAAAGTCGTCCAAAGTAAGTAAGGAGCAGTGCAACGCCTTGTTTACGTGACCACAATGGTGCTTATGGTCACTTTGGGATTCATCTGATCCTTTTCGTGTGGGCTAACTTTTGGGCCATGCTCAGTCTTAATACCTTTTCTTCCCTTTCCTCCCGCTGGGAAGTCTCGGGTCGCTACAACCTCCACCAACATTCCCCTTTACCAAACCTTGACTCACTGACATAAAGAAGGTGACTCACATCTCTACGATCAAGCAATATTGTTAAGACAGTTTCTAACAATCATTTGAAGCTGGCCATGGGGATGGACCTGTGGCTAGCTAATCGGTCTTTTCAACAAAATTGGTTCTTCAACAACTGACGCAAAACGTAATCCCCATTACGAGATTCAGACACCTTCACACAACTTTGGAGCCACTATGCATATTCTTCGGCCCCAATGAGCATGAAAATGACGTCTGACTATGTGGTTCTTGATAGCGGCTGAAAACGTTTGCCCACCATGAACATGGAACAGAACATCTTTCATGTCCCCTCATTCCAAATTATTCTAAACTTTGAACAAGTTAACTTTGCAGATAGAGAAGAATGCAACCAAGAGTACTGATATTTGCATTATTCTTCCTATGCAAATAGTGAGCGAAAATGTGTTAAAAACTGACGTCTGAAAACTCCGTGGCTGAGAAAATTAAGGTATGAGAGAGGAGAATCCAAGAAGAAGTAAGCAATCCGGGTATTAGTATGATTGTCCATCTCCAAACGCATAATTACCAAGACCCCCATCCATCATCTTCAACTGTCTCTTTCGCTTCTGCTGGCTTTTGCACAGTCACTGGTTTTTTAGGCTGCCGCAGAGCAGGAGAGTGATGACGGGAGGCGATGGATGAAGCTCTCGAATTTCCAAAGACAGATGTGCTCTCAGACCCGAGTAACTCTTGAAAGAAATCCTCTTCTGCCACTTTGGGCTTTGCTCGCTCCCATGCGCTGGTAGTGGCGCCTCCACTCGACGTCTTTGATGCACACAATGACGCTGGTGACACTGTTGGTGGAGGACTGAGTGACGATGCTTTCACATTCTGTGGTCGCAGTGGAGGAGCAGAAGAGGTGATAGTGCTAGCATTCCAGTTTGTCGCCTCATATTCGTCCCATTGCCAGTCTCGCTTCGCCATCGTCGGTGGTGAAATGTTCGGCTGTCGAGTAGAAGAAAACGTTTTATTGGTCCGTGTTGACAAATGGTGAGACTGTTGGAGTTGAACCGGCTCGTTCCAATCGATAAGTAGATCATCAGGTTGCGAGTTTTTCAGTACAGCTGCAGGTGATGCTGTCTTTGAAATGGCGGAGAGAGAGGATAAATTGACCTCACTGTCTTTGTTGCTGCTCCAACCCTCAGCATCGTCTACAAGGTCGCATAAAAGTGCCAATCAGTTAGTTGTGAAACAACGAATTTTTTACTCATGAGCAGACATTTAGGAGTAGAAGTGAGAGTTAGTGTGATTCAAAAAGCCTCACCAAATCAAAGCCTAGACTCCAGGATTGTTAGAGGCTAGAGGGTAGTGCTTTCTTCTACGTATTGAGAAACAACAACTCACCTTCATCCACATCCTCATCATCGAGATCAGCCCAGCCGAATTTCGTTAGTTCTTTTTGCTCCCCTTTAGCAACGCCTTCCTCTCCTTCCTCCCACTCCGTCACATTGAGTGAAAAGTTTGGTTTTTTAATGGTTGCCGCATCCGCTCCTGCTGTTGATGTTGATGAAGAAGTGGAATTTGACCCTTGTTTCCCTTCGGGTTCAACCTGACTTCCGTTAGTCAATGCCGAACTAGGCAGTGGATCGTCTTCAATGGAAAGAAGTGAGTTCCCAAGTAAAAGCCACTATTTATTAACTCTTTTAACCCCAGGTAAACAGATTCGGGTCGCTTAAGAAAACGATAGAGGTTTTCGCCTAAAAATAGTCCCATGATTAACGGTACGCATCTACCATAAAAAAGGGCAGCAAATATCTCAAAGCAAACAATTTTCACCTGAAACAGCGTGAGCTGCATGTTGTGTGGCGGTAGCGAAGGCGGTAGAGGAGGAGGAGATGAGGCGGGAGGAGATGGAGGATAGTGCGGTGAGAGCCCAATTACCAATAGTAGCGCCGGCAGCAGTGAGTTTTCCACCTGCTGCTGCGACTGCAGCAGCCCCCGACGAGGCCGTCTGACCACCGAGTACTGAGGTGTCCGCATCCCCCACGGAAGGATCTTCACTGGCCTATAACAAAACGTTGGCCAAGTTTTAGGACAGTTGTATATGTACATGTACATATACAACTGTTTAATATTCTCGTAGAAAACAAGGAAACCATTCAGGCTGTGACAGTAGCAAATGAAGAGTACTTAACGATGGTACATTAGCAGCTCATCGACCACTCCTTCGCTCATGTCACTCGTGCCACCAGGCATTGGGGCTTTCCTTCCAGACACGACTATCAAGCAATGCTACGAATTCTTACAGAGTCAACAAGCCCAAACAGCTGCTTCTCTAATTGGAGTGCATTTGACACAGACCCAAGCGTTCGATGAAGTGTCAAATGTTGGAAGCTAGTCATTAGCGTCAAAAAGTGGCTTTTAGTGAAAGTGTACGTAAAAGCCAAATTACCAAATGGATAGAGGGCACAAGTAGGCGATATTCTGCACTTTTACCAAGGTTACAAAAAGTATGTGGACCAAATAGATAGCAAAATCAGTGATGAAGGAAGGCTGGTAATCGAAAGACAGCTGCTATGCTGGATTGAAACATAGCGAAAGATATGACCTACAGATTATCACTCTCCACAATGCAGCTTCTCAGTTTCAACAGGTACGAAAGATATGCAGAATCAAAACCACGTACTAACCTTCTCCAAACGTTCAACCATTCCACGTAGCGCCTTGAGAGCCGTATCCCTTATGTCCTTCTCCGTATCTACGGCCACGAAAGAGAGGCAGGGGATTACCTTTCCAGCCAACTCCTGAGCTGAGAAGAAGGCCTAAAGGTGGATGAAAAACGGCCATCTTAAGGAAAACCTAAATAAGTGAACCAAACAGCGCTTTCATCCTAACTTACTTGACAAGCGGCTAGACCCGTAACAGCAGCCTGGCGGCTGGGTGGAAAGGGGTCACGGGTGGCACGAAGAAGGGCATTCAGAAGAGGACCGCGACGTACTCCTGGGTCTAGACGGCTTGCCAATTTGGCAAGGCATATCGTTGCGTTAGTGCGGATGCCTCCTTGATCATCCTTAAACTATGAATAAATGAAAAATACAGGCGAATCAACCTTGAAAACTATAGCTGCCTAATTTCTTGACTAGTGGTGAATAATCGTGAAAATTAGGACGAATAGAATGGGTAAACTGATCCTTTAGACAAAAATTTAGCTTTAAGTTCAGTTAATGATTTCAATATCCTACGTTTCTCTGAACCACATTGTACTATAAAAAACCACACCACTGTTTAATAAGCTCAAGGTGTAGAAAGGGTTCCCTCACACCCTAGTTAACGTACCTCTAGCGTAGTCAGATGCCTCACTAGAACATCATTAAGTATTCTTGATGGGAGGGAGGGCGCTAGATGCACCATGGCGCGTATTGTAGCCTCCCGCACAAGGGGGTTGGCGTCGGTGAAGCCCGCAGAGACGGGACCAAAGATCTGAGTTTCCACTAGAGCCCGTGGCAGCTTGTCCACAAAACGCGGTAACTGATCGAGTAAGCGAACACGAGTAGCGCGATCAGGTGCGGCGAAAAGGCGTACCAGACCCGGTACTACCACCACCTCAAAGTCCTCAGACGGCAGAAGGTGAGCCAACTCCAGCACAGGAACTAGCGCTTCTACGCCTGTGGAACCGAATTTGAGACTATTAACCAGATGAGGCAGGATCTAGAACAGAAAATCGTCCCCATTTTTACGTTCCCTCTAGTAAAATTCGTAATTGTATGACTGAAAAAGGATTGAGAGGCCCAAATGTGTTAATACTCTCGACAGATAAATATTGGTGTAGACCGAATAAGATAAAGCAGAAAGTGGTAGTCTTCCTACCTTGTAGCGGCAAATGTCGTCTGGAAACAGTCCCACAGCTCTCTTCCCCAGTTTTTCCAAAAACCGCGCCTTCTCCTCCTTGTCTTTCAACTGGATCTCCTCTAGAAAGAGGAGTGTGTCGATATAGTCGTTACGAAAGAAGCCCACCTTCAGAAAGGCTTTGAACGGCGAGCGAGCACTCGAGACAACCAAGGGGGTTTTCGATGCCAAAAGGCGCCGATAAGGTGCCACCAGAGGCCGCGGCAGGCGCTCCAGACTCACCTTTGCACTCAATTGACTGGGTTCAGTCAAGGGCTCGGGATTGAAAATTTCCCAGATAAGGCAGGCTAGTCCCCACGCATCAATGCAGTGACCTTTGGGAGCACAATAGACAGCTGCGAAGGAAGAAACAATCCAAGCTTTCTTTTCGAAAGTCCATTATTCTGCATCTTATTTGACCTCACCTACCCGGTCGAGAGATGTTTAACCTCTGCTCATCAGCTTCACTCAGTGGAGCGACATAGTCTAGCCTTCCCAATTTCCACTCACTAGAACGATTGACGTAGACAGCAGCTGCACAAACAGCGTTATGGGAGAGGTGGCAGTCATCGTTAAGGAAGCCCAGGGCCCGAGTCACCTGATAAATACCCCACGAAGCAAGGAAGGCGAAATTGTTACTACTGTCGGCTTGTTCACGGATATATTCCAACAGAGGGTGGACTTCCTCCGTAATGATGTGAAAGGGGATTTTGAGCTGCTCGGTCCCTGCTACCCAAGTGAGTATGTTGGGGTGACGTAAGGTCTTCATCCTCTTCACAATCTGGGAGAGGACAGCAGTAGGACCAGAGGAATCGGAGGAGAGGAGACGAAGGCAAGAAAAGACAGTGACTCTATAGGTGGGTTTGCGCTGGGAGGCAGCAGACTGGCGTACCCAGTGGATATCAAAGGGACCAGGAAGGAGCTCCTCAGCCGGGGGCGGGAGGAGGTTGTAGGAGGAGAGTGGATCGTCAGACCCGTGGGAGCCCAGAACGGAACCAAGAGTGGAGGTAGATGGTGTGCCATTCGAGGATTTATTTGAGAAAATCCACATTATCCGTTGATAGGAACTGTAGTAGAGTGAGCCATATGATGGGGGATGAGAAGAAGAAACGACAAAAATGGTGAATGTTTAGTCGTAATAGACAAAAAATTCGGCAAGAAATAAAGCAAGACCGCTGCGTAGGAACACTAACGAATTTAATTCATTTTCTTACAAGATTATAGCGGATTTTAACAGAAAATATTTTCGATTATTAACATTACATTGGAAGTAAACAGCCGATAATGTGCTGGCATCAAGAAATTTAACAGAAACTAAAGAAAGATAGGCATAAGAACTTTTGTGCCGAATACAAAACAACAAAAGGAGGGGTAAATTCAAAAGGATACTTCATATCATACGCCTAAACATATATTCTAACTGTTTTTGAGCCGAGGGTGATAAGAAAGTAAAGCCATAAAAAAGAGTAATAGTTGTTTAATAAACGTATGTTGCAAATTCATGTTCTTGTCACTTGCTGTACCTTATGTTAGTCAATAATCTTAAAAGAAAGTTTTAAAAGGCACTATAAATCAGGAAAACGGCGACTAATTGGGAAATAAAACGAGTGTGTCAAGTGGGGTTCACTCTTCCTAGCATATGCCTACGAACGCATCAAAACTCTGTACCGAAAGGAAACCATTAAAAAGGAGATCTCCAGAGGCCATGAAACGAAAGTAAAGTGAGCCAATATGATGTTACAGAAGGCATCGGGAAAAAATAAATTCCAACGACAGGGACAGATATATCTCCCTAAATTAGAGACAGTCCTTAATCATATATATCCTAGTAAACGTACTCATGCATCTAAGATCCCACATTATAACTCCAAATAACAACTATTTTCACTGAAAGTAAAGAAACGCAGTGATTTAATACATCCACATCACAGACCTCTGGGTGCAGCCTCACGATTTCAAATAGCGCCGCTCTACATAAGGCAATCTATATCATCGAGAAATTATCTAATTATTTTTAATTGAGAAAACTTTATGGGTAACGCATGATTTCAACGATAAACACTTAAATCATTAAGCGAATTTCAAATATTAACTTTAAGGTGAGAGGCTTTAAAAGGCCCTTAACATTAGCAATGGGATAAATTATAAATTAACAAGTGCTAGATTAAAAATCCAAGTAAGCGTCCCGCAGCGTTTCGAGACCTTCCTCCAGGTTGAAGAAGGTAGTAAACTGAGCTGAATGCATGTGTTACAGGAATAGCAATGAGATCGGACCCGAGATTGGCCTGAAGGCCATATCGTTAAAATGTCAGGTAGTCACGCAAACGAAGTGCTACACTCTCCAATCCCCTTTTAAGCAACTTTCTTGACACTCCCTTTGGTACATATCCTGCGTCAGCCACTAAACTACGTTCGATGCAGCAAGAATGCACCCATGAACCAGCTGCTTCAATCAACATCTATCATGAGACCGAGGAAAAGTACTTGGCCTCTACAACAGCTTCAACCGGGCAAGGATTTACGTTAGGTCCGACAGCCAGAATCGAGACTGCATACATCTGTTGACGATCATTTACTTCCAAGATTTGACCGTGGAACTCTAGTCTGAAATAGATGTGTTACAAGGACAACGGAATCAAATCCAGCCTTTTACAAGTGAATGGGACAATTCCGGCTTAAAACTCTTCCAGATAGTTCAAGGCGGTGTCCGTTCAGTTGTTAATAGCTTGTATGTGGGACAAGAGTACAAGGGAACGCAAAATGCAGATATAATTCTCAATTCGTTTGCTACGAAGGCCTTAGAGGTTCTCCCACCACCACACACTGTTGGTACATGCTAGAATAAAAGTTCTTGAAAAACTGCCGGATTCGCTTTCCACTACCACCAGTGAAGCGTCCGGAGTTTTCCCGCAGGTTAGAAGTCTGTAAATGGAGATGAATACACGTATTGCAGAGAGAACAAAGAGATTTGGCCTGAACCAGAATCTTAAAGTAACCGCCAGACATCGAATTGTCACATAAACAAGATTTTGCAAACCCAACATTACCCATGTGCCAACGTAATCTTGTAGTGGCCATAAAGTAAATTTAAAAAGACTACTTAAAATGAGACTATATGCACTTGTTTCTGGTACAATCTCAAGGACTTTTACTCAGGCAACCAAAATTTATTATGCAGCACCTGAATCTACCCCAGAACCTACTGCAAGCTACGGCATTGCTCCAAAGTAACGCTTGCGAATTCCTGAAACTCGGGTTGGAAAACGTGAGCATGTACATACACCACCTCGCCTGATGGTTTACAGATGGTCACATCAATTTGAAAACGACTTACAATCCATCGGCGCATTTCAACAAGCCTAATGTATTCACGACCTTGTTTCATTTGCAGTCTATTGATAGGGAGAAGAATAAGGAATCTCATGTTTTTCAGGATAACCGAAATCGGCAGGTAAATTCTCGCCCTCGAAAAGCGAAATTCACTATTGGCGATGTAGAAAACAAACCATTTGTCTTCAGAGTCGAGCTTTCTTGCCGATGCCATCTGAGCAGCAATTCAAGGTGCGGCAAACTCAATTAGGCCGGCAGAAAATGCACCACTAATCGTCATAAGGGCAGGGACAGTCATCAACAGCCAGAAGGTCACGTTGCAGAGTGAAAGCACAAATCTCAATGCTGAAGTACCCGCGTACCTTAATGAAGATAACTAAAACCCCGAACCCTACAGCAATGGGTAACATCGCCAAATAGTAGTTACCAACATCTAACCAACGCTGATAAATTCGAATGTCGCAGACTTGCTAGTGGGCAGAGATTTTGTGCAGATGATAGTGGAATCAGACTGAAGGTAAATGATACAAAGCAATCAAAACAATCAAATCAAACAATCAATCAAAACACCCGAGACGAAGCACGAAAATGAACGCAGCCCTCAGATACACGATGAGTCCTATCTTCGAGCATAGAAATTCACTCAATAAGCCCCGCTCCAAGAGGCAGTGGATGACCAGCCCCGCAACCACGCCCATACTTGTTAAAGAGAGCGAAAAAGGAATAGTGTAAGAAGTAGGGTTATTAACCATAATAAGAAGTTTAGTGATGTAAAATAAAGTAACTCAGTAATAGTAAGCCAACGCTGATACCACCACCACGGGTGTGACGCCGAGCCATTCTAATCAACCTTGACAACACGATAGATAACACGGGTGAAGACGAAACACGAGAGGAAGCCCACGCTGCCTGAAAAGAGAAAAAGAAAAAATGGTTGTCCAAGTGAATTTGACTCATGTGATCACCTGGAGTTGCGCCAAATACACAACAGAGAGCATAAGCCCGGAACTCACGTGCCCTCATAAAGCACTGCAAGAAGAGACTTTATGTGCCCAACACACCAAAAGGGATAGCCTTACAAAAAAAGTTCCTTCTACTGCAACAGCATCCATTTTAAGCACTACCTGAGTGGTACCATCGGTAGCACATTTAAAAGAGACTAGCGGAGGAATGTTATCACTGGCCAGCTAGATGAAAAGAAGGCCCCAGAGAGCATGTAACGTATCACCTATCGGGAGCCCTTGGTCCGATCAAACCAATTCAACCACAACAGCAAATGAATGCCTTAAGGGTGAAGCAGCGACCACTCAAAGCATCACACCTCAAAAGTCCGCGTGATGCATTCAGTGATTAGATGATTGGCTTGGAGATGGATGAAAAACCATCGTCAGTGAGAGGACAGTGACAAGAAAAGAGGACAGTTGAGAGGGCTTGGGGTTACACACACACACACACATTAAAAGTAACTATTCTTATCGCTCCATTCACACACAATCAAGTGCTGAAACGCCACGCCATAAAGCCAGTGACAGAAGTTTTCACGTAGTACACCACTTAAAAGAGATGATAAAGGTAGTCGAAAAAAAAACCAAAAAAGGCGTCGAACGGCACTCGTCGGAAAAAAAAAGGCACCACAATGCAACGACCACGAACGCTCGCCCGTGGAGAGGGTAATTTGGGACTGCGTCAAGATCAACAGGGACAGGGAAGATCTTTATATTGTGGCTCATAAGGAAGTTGTTCAAATCTCACAAATAAGCCTATAGGGAACGGCAAAGTCTCCAACTCCAGTGAGTCCTCTCCAAATATAAGGCAGTGTGTAATGGAAGAAGCGATAGAGATGGAAAGGAAGAAAAATGGGTTTCGTCCACCGAGCTTGATAAGCGTCAATCAAAGATCAGAACAAACATTTCGGCAAAACCCTCTAAAAGAAAGAGCGAGTTAATATGGGCATAACCTTGCACGCCCAACATAACAAATAGCAACAAACGGGTGAAAATGGAGATACGATTTAACTTACCAAGCATGATGAATAAGAGCCCAGAGACGAGAGCAGTGCAGGTGAGGTAAAGGAAACCGGAGATGAAGCCTCTGTACTGTGTCTTGAAGAGGTAATAGTTTATTGCATAGCCCAACACGTAAATCGCCGTCGATCCGCCCGAGAGGAATGAGCGCCACCACCATCGGTAATTCTACCCAACGTTGAGGAGACAAATTTATAATCATTCGTACACACAAGCACTTATCACGTCGTCAAGGCGGCTGAGGCTACCAGCAGTTCGTAACTGGGACTTGAGGATTTCGAACTTGACAAATCCTTCACCCTGAATGAACGGTGGATCAGGGCAAAAGTTTTGCCACTTAATCTTGAAAGCAACACAACAAATGCGCATAGAGAATGTGCGAGCGACCTTTACTTAAAAGTCGGAGGTTTAAGTAGTCGGTACAGAAGACCCAAAACTATGTCCCTGTTTCTTCGACGCCAGAAATACAAGGGCATGGCACAGACGCTCAGACCACACCCACTGCTACTTCAAATAAGTTTTTCGACGCGTTATCATTTGGTCCAAAAATAACGTAAACAAAATCATGCAAATGAGAACCCAGAAATAGGTAGCTGAGCGTGAAGAAAAGCTGCTGGTTCCCGAAAACCAGCCAGCAGCTCCTCCGGCAGAGGAGTATTTGCAAGTCAGCGAAGACACTTGCCTCAGTATCGACTTGTGTGAAGGGTAAAAAGTCATGACTGCATCTTACTACTTTCTGATTTACTAAAAGATCGCCTTAAGCATATGGTTGCAAAACCAACTGAAACGGTGCCGAGGTCGAGAAAAAACCATTGGAGAGAAATAATAGCGTTTTGAGTCTCATATCTCGATTTGAAAGATGATACCGAAATAAGGCAATTTTGTCCTCATTTAAATGCAAACGCAGTGAAGTGATGTTCTTTTCCAACGAAGAAAGAAAGAAGAATTAGCCCTGTAGACACCAAAAACCTGGCAAAGGGAAACGGCAGGTGACCACGAATACGTCCAGCATGGAAGTGCCTTCGAAATAGGCAAAAAAGATGTTTTCAAAAAAGCACAAATCAGTAGAAGAGAGCGCCTTCAGAAGCGGGAAAGATTCGACCATTTGAGCATGTCGGGGCATTTGTACACGGGCGAGTGTGTGGTAGGAATTTTTTCGCCTACCAGTGCACACGGCACCCTCAACTCAATAAATCCCTAACAAACGATTCGTCAAGGCACGCTAGAACTAAACCCAGAAACCAGTAACTTTTAAGATATGAATTTCCTGTGAAAGATCGCCTATTGGTAAAGAGGAGTTCAGCATAGCCGCCCATCCTCCAGAGTTTGATACTCAGGATTAATGGAAGGTATGATCAACACCCTCCTTTCCCCATTAAAAAATAGGGTCACCGAAACAGGGGTTTTGAGAAGGCCCTGTGACTAGAAAGGTTGGCTTTAGGAGAAATATTGGAGTACGGCTAAATTATGGCAACCACTCAGACTCCTTTCCAACTATGCAATACAGGTGACAGACGCGATTAGGGTGACACGAGAGCAGCTCCGATGAACGTAGACAAGTAAGAAATGGCGACACTGCTACAAAGGGACGCCTTGATCTGCCGTGGGTGCACAAAAAACAACCTTTGATACAAAACAACAAAAATAACTCATGAGATCTTACAACCACCAACGTAGCACACACTGGCTTTCACTCATAGCCAGTGCGGTAGACTCCGTCAGGATAAGCCAGTCGAATTAACAAATCCTTTCATGAGGGAGCCGCATTATGAGCATTGGTAAGCGCCTTTAGGAGTTCATAAACTTGGTATCCAAGGTGGATTTCGAGTATGAAATTTGGTTCTACTCCATGAACTATGCCCTCAAATTGGTTTTATGAATTTACAAGTTCCACCTTCATTTAAGATTTTTTTTAAATTTTAAACAGCTGTTTGCACAAAACGTATTCACTGGGTTTCCATCCACACCACCTTTGTCAAAGATCACATGGGTACCGAAACACTCTATAGCGGCGTTGTTAGACAGGCTCCAAAGCATCAACTAACCTCAGCACAGAGCTGGAAGTAGCAAGTGAGAATGCTAATCTCGATGATGCAGGCAAGGAAGAAAACAAACACAAGGAACAGGAAGCCGAACATGAAGAAGAGCTGCTGGCCCCAAATGCTGTTGAAGATAAAGAAGAGTTGGACGAAGATACAACCGAAGGGCAACAGCCCAGTCAGAAGCATTGTTGGTAGAGTGAGAGTGTAACAAGCCTGTGGAGGCACCTGCCTTGGGATCTGGTTAGTCCGAGTGGGCACTCGGATGGCCTGAAAGGAACAAAACAGATCTCACGTAGATAATTGTCAAGCTTTAACACTGTAACTCAGAGTAACTACACAGGATGTAATGTGGCAAAGCATACTCATCAAACTTTTAACGAACCAAGCACCAAATACAAAAAAGCTTATTGCGAAAACAAAACAAAGTCCTCATCGTAGGATACCCCTTCAATCAACACTGACAATCACATAAATGTCGCTAAAACTAGCACAAAAAGAGAATGAAATATTCACCTGTTGACGGAATCCAAAGAAGGCTCCAATGAAACAGAGGGGCAGAGAGACCAGAAGCCACATGGCAAGGATGGAGAGAATGGCAGTGAATGAGACAGCAGCAGAACTGTCGAGCAAAATGAGGACGAAGTTGATCGCTAAAAAGACACTCATCACGAGTCCCGGGCAGAAGAGACCCGTCAATAGAATGTTGGTCTTCCAGCGCAGCCCATTGAAGAACTTGTAGAGCCGAGCAGAAGTGTAACCTGCGGAGTAATGAAATTGCATGAATTTTAATGATGGCAGTATTTCAGACCGGTAGCGATTTGGTAAACACTGGATTTTACAGCAAAGTAACTTATTAGGCTCGAGAATTGCCATGACCTCAAGTGTAGGTCACATATAATGACAGGAGGGAAAATCACAAAAATAATAACAACAATTGCCGTATTCTTCAGGTCAATTCCCAGTCCAAAGGACTAAGAAGAGGTATCCGCTGTGGATGCAGATCATCAGATGCCCCACTCGGCAAATTCTTTGCCTTGGAGATCCGTAGTGGTGTCAATAATGAGGCAAAATCTGATGTGATTTAGCAGAGTGTTGCTGAAACACCTCTTAATCAAATCCAAGTGTAATCGCTCTAAGCCCAAACAATTGGTTGCTTTATAAGTGCCAGTATGGTAAGAACAGTTCAGATACGCTAGGACCATAAGAGTGAATGACGACGTTGGTCACAGTGAAAGAGCAAAATCGCGAAGCTCTGAAGCTAGCACTCTAGAATAAGGAAGTCGAGCGGCAAAATAATGTTTCATTAAGGAATTATTTTCACATGCTGCTATTTGTGAAATTAAATTATTGAGTCATCCCTTCCATCAGCACACTTGCAATAAGCCTATAACAGAAAAGAACGTACCGGCAGAAGCGCCCAGACAGACAAAGACAGCGATGGCACAGGTAGCAAAGGCGCCACGGTGAATGGGCGAGAGGATACCGAAACAGCTGAAGAACAGTGTGATGGCAGACATGAGAGCCATCTGCACCCCGGAACCGATTAGCACGGCGAATACCATAGGGTAGCGCGGGGCTCGGAAGACGTCACCGTGGACCAGCTTCCAACCGAACTCTTCCTGGGTCTCGTTAGGCTTTCAAGGAGTGAAGTGGAAAAGGAGACGTCGTAATGCACACAACTCACTTCGAATAATCCATACAAGAGTTTCAGTAAATGGGATTACAATAAATATAATGTGGGCGATCTGCTTGGGTGGTAAACCTTTAACAGCACACGACGAATTACATTTGACCATCCAATTGCAGTGATGGTATGCAATGGGTTCATCAATTAGAAAACGAATCAATCCCACTTCAAGCCTTCTAGCTCCTCCAACTGCCGATGATAAGAGTGAAACTGGATAAGTTAGTTCAAATTGTGAAAAAACCAGAAAGGAGGCATCAAAGTAGATGTTCACCTCACTCTCCAACTTGTCATATTGCAGAAAATCACGACGCAGAGTGCGCACCAGCACAATTGCCACGAGGATGGTAAGGAAGAACACGACGAGTACAGAATTGATAATGGACACCCACTGGATGTTCTCGTGTGGTGCCTCCGAAATTAGATAGCTCCATCGGCTACTCAGTGGCGCATCCCGAACTTCCTGTCACGAAGGCAGAAATGAACGCTTTAGGTAATTAGGCTACATGGCTTTACTTCAATCAAGACCAAATGCATAAGAACATACGACGAATTGGACACTGTAGGTGTAGACAACTGTGAGGGGTGTGAAAAATTTTTCTGGCAGTGACAGCGGCTGGCCGGCAGAGCACTTGAGATTATTTATGTCGTGAGCAATGCTAGAGAAAAGACATCCGTTAAAGACGTTTAAGGCAAAATACACACTAATGCAAAGCTTAGTTATGCTTAAATCGCCACAAGAGAGACCAAAGGCGAATCGTGAAATCTAAGCGAGAGACGACTCTTTCCAATCGGCTAACAGGTGCAATGGATGCACGTCTATTGCGGTTTCAAACGATCGCCTTCACTTTTATGCAAATAGATCTGCCGTAATGGATGTAAATTTTTCCGCTATCAACGTTCAGAGTTTTAAAAACGATACGGCTCGTCTCGAGATTAAAGACAACCACGCAATGTATATTTCCAATCCAATGATTGCATCAATAATCTCATTCAAAAAGAGGAATTGAGGCGATTGGCTAGAGTAAATAAATCTGAAAAACACACCCACATTAGTAGTGCAGCACCTAATCTCAAAAAAAGGGGAGACGGAGCAGCAACGACATTCGATGCAGCTAAATTTTGAACTTTAAATCTGATAATAAGGGTATAGAGGAAAATAAAGGTGAACATAAAAAAGCACTTACAAAGCAACAACTATCAAGAACGACCACAACGCACCTCATTGGAGTAACCTGGACGGCAATTAAATTGTATTTTGAAGGCTCGGACGCAGTGTAAGTGATATTGAAGGCAAAGTGGTTGAAGAGGTAGGTATCTTCATCACGAGCGCCCATCTACAAAAATAAATGGAAGTTGGGAAGGACCAACAAACTTTAGGCTCCTAAGGAAATACTTTAATCAAATATACATGTCCTTCATACTCAAAAACGAGAAGACACATCAAAAAAATGATAGCAACAAAAATAATGCTACCAGAGCTTTGCATTGCGTTGATTCGATTTGAGAATCTGCTTTGTAGCATCCGAGGGGAAAACTCTTTTCGCAAATTTCGCCATGAGGAGTCTTTTTGCAAGTAATCACAGGTATATTGTCAGAAACCCTAAAAAATAAGGTAGAATAGGAATGTTTGCCATAATTTACCAATATCGATGGTAAGACTGTCTGATTCCGTGCAACAATTTCATGTAGCTTTCGACGGCAAAGGAGTCTTTGGGATCGTAGGTTTTGCGACACAGCTCTACACATCCACTTGACGTCTTGAACTTTATCTAAATCGTGAAAACAGTTAATTAATTTCATTCCATAACTAGTGACTACTCAGCCAGAAAATATACGCGCCTTTATATTAGTTTCAGCCAACATTTCGCCAAACAGTTTCGCACCAAGATTTGCAGGAGAATATGTGGGATTATCAGACACACATTGATCGACTCTAGAAAAAGTTCAGCAAAGTCATTGAGACCAACTGTGGAGATAGGGAAGGACCAAAGAGAACTGGGGAAGAAAGTCGACCCGCATACACCTCAATTATGGACTATGAAAATACCAATGAAAGAGCAAAGCGTACAGTACAGTCGCCTATCGAGTCATCGTAACAGTAATTTGTCAGCGAGAGTCCAGGTATCGACTTGACACTTAGTGTGTTCAACAAAAGCACGAATGTAAAAAGGAACATCTCAACGGATGCTATTCGCAGTTAGGAGCCGATCTATTGGTGGTCGACTTAACCGTCCACTGTAAATATAGCACGTGAATATTAAGTACTAACTTGACGTTTGTGCCGCATAATCCCAAGAAATTGCACTAATAGTTTCTAAATTAAATTTTGACTTAAATCTGGATATTTAATTTCTGTCAGTATTTCCTTAATTTTGATTGCCTTCTGCTTCCTAGTTTAGCCTGTACGCGTCTTATTTTTTATTGACGGTCGAAAATCCTTTCTTTAACATTTTTGTACTCTATTTTCCAGCATTTGTTCTGTTTGCCAACACTTTACGAATTCTAACGAACTAATAAGTTTGGCACTATACAATATGCGACTAGCTTATTTATTTATGAAAAATGCCTCCGTTTTGTGCTATTTTTCAACTAAATTCTGTAGGACCTCAAGGCTTCTCACCAGGTAAAGTGAAGCACTGCTTTGGGCAGAATGCAGGTATTCTAATAGGAGGTGGAGATGGGATAAAATCTTTGTTTGTTTCGAAGGCCAGACCACGCATGCAAGATTCAGACCAGGTGGTTACAAAAACGAGATTGTAGCTGTAGCGTCCCGACGCTTCCCATAAGGCGCAAGAAAGCATAAGTGAGGTGGCTCAAAGGCCAGACTACGTGTACAAGGACCAGACAAATTTTAAAGTGACCACCAAATGTCATTTGATCACATAAACAAAGTACTAGAAGGGCATTATGATGTCTCTCCTTTTGGACGACATCCTTGAAGATCCCTTTGTTACATCTCTAGCGCTATCTATCATGACATATCCGCTGCAAAATGGAAACACCCACGATCCAGCTGCCTTTTTTGTTAAGTACCATGCGACTGAGGAATGATATTTGGTCCCCAGCAGATTCAACCTAACCAGGAATTTCTGTTGACTTTCTATGGTGTACACGACTCTAAAGCAAATTTTAACGGGAAAGACAGAATCCAGCAGTCCCGTGTCGAAAGCGATCCTCTGTTGTAGCACGGATGTAGTAGGGAAACTGCCATTACAAAACCTTTCCGTATTTTTCGCGGTTGTACCACTTTGTCTGTTAGTGTTTTGTCTATGGACCTTAGAGGCAAATTGTGACCAAACACAGACACCATTCTCAACCCTTCCGCCGTGAGGGATACACATTTCCACCTACCCGGTGTTAATGCGCTTTCTTTTCATGGTAGCCACAGTTAAAAAATGGCGAATACTATGGGAACTTTCGGTAAAATATCTGATTCGCTATCCACTGCTTCCAGTGTAGTGGTCCCGGACTTTCCACTATGTGGTTTAAGGTATTACTTTTAGTAGAATGCATGTATTCTAGGAGAAAAAGGAGATGAGGTCTTTGTTTGGCCGGAAGGCTAGACAACATGTACTAGGGCTACACAAATTTCAAAGTACGCGTCAAAAATCAGGTGGTCACGAAAACGAAACGCCACACTTCCCACCTTCTACACATACAGACAACTTCGGCGGCAGAAATGGCCTTTAAAATTCTGTGATATCTTCAGATTTCTAGTAAGATGATTAATCTCGTTCTGTAGCGCCCCCGACACTTCCCACCAGCCATTAAGTTGGGCTAAATACGTGTATTGAAGGAAGGAGAAGAGGGTCTAAGGACAAAACTAATACCCAAGTAATCGCCAGACATCAGATGGTCAAATAAGCCAAGTACTACACGCCCCCCCC